AGCTTTCAATTTTCTAACCGTGTCTATTTCGCGATCACTGTGAAACTCGACGAATTAGCTACTTGACTTGCCGTAGGTCAAAGGGGACTAACACACCCCTCGCGAAACGACGAAGATCCATAGTTAACAGTGTAGAGGGAGATAGGCTGAGGTCGAAGTAGAATGGAATGTAAAAAAGAGTAGGTAGATGGAGACCCCAATTATCCATGTAATCTCGACCAGCGAGACAGTACTTCCGAGATATAAGTCGGTTTTCTTTTTGCTCGATGAGACGGAGTTAAATATAGGGAGGTCGTACTCCGCTTGTCTCGTGGGATGTTCCAAAAGAGAGCTGTATTAATGTTAAGTCTTATCGAATTGCGCTGACTCTCTTTTTATTCATTGTACTTCTTTCTGTTTCTCTCTCTCTCTCTCTCTCTCTCTCTCTCGCCCGCACACACTCTCTCTCTCTCTCTTCTTCATTTCTTCTCTTCTTTCGCACCACTATATCTTTAACATAGCAGATTCTTGCCGGAGAATTTACCCTTTCTTCTCGACGAGACAAATCCTAGCTTTATCGATTTTCTGCTCCTGAACATAATTCAACGTTAATTATCATAATGACTGTAATTAAAATAAAAAAGCCAATAATGCATTCAAATATTGTCTCTTTGGGTCATATATGGATTCAAGAAATATTATGTAAATTCTAGTATGACTAAATATGTTAAAATAAAAGTTTTTAACTTAATGATAAAAATAAAAAAGAGTATAAATTTATAAAGCATACTGAAAATATATATAATTGTTATACTTTGAGTCTAATTTATTTACATATCTATTAAGTTCATTGCATTTAATTTGTATTATAGCACAATAAGTTGTCGCGATAGTTATTTTTTAATTACATATTTTGTTACGCCTGAATGTTTATACTCCTATTCTGATTGCTATAGATAAAATATATATCGGTCATAAAATTTTATATTCACGTAAATATTCATTTAATCAGTAATGAAATATATATAAGTTGCTTACCATTAATATAATGCCACAGAATTGCATGGATAATTTAATAAATTAATTTAAACTAGAATACAATTATATAGTTATGCAATATATAAATATTTTATGTATCCTTCATATAAATCATAGTGAATATGAGCAATGTTTGTTGTTATTATGTTACAAGCTTTTCGTTAATTTGTAAAATTATTTGTTTAATAGCCTCATTTCATTATTATAGTTTATACATATTATAATATAAAATAATGTAAAGCATGTTACAAGTGTATTTAGGTTATATTTTTAACTGGCAAATTCTTTGAATAATTTTAATTAAATTAAGTATATATTTTAATATTATATATAAATTGTATTATGAGATCATATGTTATTTAATTAATCTAAATTAACCATAATAAAAAAAATAATAAATACATAATATAAATACATAATAATAAATACATAATTATAAAAAAAATACAGTTCTTATCATATAATATATATGTAAATAATATATATATATATATATATAAATATATATATATATATATATATATATATATACCTATCAGTAAAATATATATTGCATGTAAGATCTGAGATATGTGTATTAGGAAAAACAAAACTGCTTATGTCTTATAACAAAAAACAAATGTATGAACTTTTACTTATTTATTTACGTTTTATAACAAGAATTCATTACATTTAGAGATTATGAAGATTCGTGTTTTCCAAACATAAGAAGAATCACGTATGATGCATACGAGAATAATATTTTATAACACAACTGATGTTCTTCAGCGAATGGAACTGTAAACATCATACAGAATTATGCAATTGTGTCTCCTAAGGGCGTGAAAGTAGATAATATTTATTAAAGATTAAAAAAGATAGCCATTAGGGAGAGAGCAGAGATTAAACCGTGTAACTCTTCAAAGACTCCAAGTTACTTTGGCCTCATGATTTTAATTGCACGCGGAAATAAGAAACGAAAAAAAATTAGACAGAACGGATGGTATTGTAGCTCATTGAGAGAAAGAATGAATCCGAGAAAAATACCTTTATCAAGTAAGTAAACAAGCGGAAAAACAGAATTAATAAGTTATAAATAGGAATTAATAAGTTATAACAGAAAAGCACAAAATGCAAAAAGTATACGTATAAAAGTAAGATTTTATATCATTGTTTAAAAAAATATTGTTTTTAATAATCTACTATAGTTATAAAATGTAATTATTGTAGTATCATTATGTATCTATGATATTAATAGAAAAATACCATAATTCGTTAATCTTGTAATTCAATTATTAATTATTACATATTACATAGTATATTTTTTAATAGAAATACAATAAAATAAATTCATAAGATTTAATAGAAAAGATCGGAGCTCATTGATACAATTTTCACAATTTTGATTATAGACGTTTTAAATAACGAATTATTATAATTAAAACGTATTATGCTAACGTATAATGCTTCTATACACTGTATAGCTTTTTTGTAGTACATAAGAAATCCATCAATGTTATATATAGATATTATGATAGATATTATAAATATTTTTTTTAAATATGCATCTTATTATATATATATATATATATAAATAGTAAAATTATTCCATAAATATTACTGCACAGTGAATATATTATACTTCAGACAAATATTAAATTCTGTGTCTATAAGATCTACGAGTCAAAATTCCAACCTGCGGTAAGCAACTCACAATACATTCTAGAACACCGTTTCTCTTGCACGAAGCGTTCATTCAAATAATAGCGAGTTGCCGCGCCATAAACTCTTGCCACGATGCGTTACATCTCACCGCATCTCATCGTTCATCACCGAGCGTATGCCTACCCACCTAAACATGGGAAGAAATTTTCCACGTGTACGTACATGTGAAATTAGCTTCCGCTGGGTCGATTCGAAATTAGTCATCCGCCGCGACGATTGAGTTATTTTATCCTGATGAAAGCACCATAATTAATCTTTTCGCTGAGAAGACAAACATTATATTTGGTCTTGTGCTTAAAGCACCAGTAAAGTTCCAGTGTCATTGAACCGAAAGAAACGAACAAAGCGTAACAAAGCGAAGCAAAGTTTTCAAACACGATTGCTTCTTAACTAAATAATTCAACGGTCAAATTATTTCGAATCAAAATAATTTGACAGATGAACAGAACAGAAAACAAATGTTATTGTTAAACTTAAATAAATAAACATGATATATATATATATATATATATATATATATATACGTTTATTTATTTGAGTTTAGCAATAACGTTACTTTCTTATATCTTTATATATATATATATATGTATTTATTTATATATATATATATATTTAGAAAGGAAATAGGCAAAGAAGCAGAAGAAGAAGGAAGTACATTCTTTCTTTCCCACGCGATGCGAACTCGTCAAAGTGCCAAATCCCCAAGGGTAGAGAGACCAAAGTCCCGTATATGCTACGAATGGAGTCGATCAATGGGAACAATACGTTGCGTTCGTCGATGACTTCGTCGACGACGTGATCGGGTTCTTCTTAGCGTGCTCCGCTTCTCTACCTTCGTATCCTTTTGAAATCGGCTGTCTTCTTACAACGATGGTGGAAGGCAACCTCTCTCTTGACTTGCATATCTACAGATTGCCTACGACTTTATTATACAACTCCTATGTCAATACACTTTGATTTTGCGACGATGTCGACGCTGTCTAGGTACTTAGATTCAGTTTGCCGTTTAAAATCTTGTAAATAAATAAATGATTATTTTAGTCAGTAAAGTAATAGTCGCGATAAATATATTTATATTTTACTATATAATTTAAGACAATTTCGAACTAACTGATCTCGGAATTTTAGCTATTAAAATCTTATTATAGATATAAAAAAAATAGATTGATTATTCCTATAGATTATTCCTATAGATTCTCTAATTAATAAGATTAATTACTTCATATATTATCGTACAAATCAGACATTGTAGAGCTCTAAATAGACGTGCATGTCAATACGAATCGTGGTCGGATCAATTCAATCGCACTGTTCACGCATACACGTATACGGACGTCGTGAGAGTAGACATTTCAAGAAGAAGAAAACGCGGTGTCGGCATAGACTAGAGCAATGATCGGCGCCATGATCGTTAATCCAATTGTGATTATCTGAAACGTCGCCGCCGCTAACCGTGATCTCTATGTTTTCAGAAACATCAATCAGGAGAAAGTTCGAGGGCCCGTGGAGGGTCGTGGCGGCATGGAGACCTTTTTCCGATTACAAATCGAGCAAGAGTGCGGATCGTATATACGAATTCAGAGTGAATCTAAGTTCCAGAACGTTTGGCGTGCGACTCAGGGTTTCCCCTAGGCGTCATCGCGAATATATAGTCCGGATTATAATGACTCAGGATGACTCGACAGCACCCCCAGGCGTTGTCCGAAGGGCGATCCAGGGATTCGAGTTCCTCCAGGCGAAATCGCCGTTTTAAATACGCGGTAACATAAGCCATAGAAATGTATTTTTTAAGCGTTTTGTGCTTAATATGTGATTTGTACTTGATTTAATTAAACATTATTCATAAACGAAAACGCAGCGTGAAATATTAATGTTGTCTCCCTGAATCACGAAACAAACATCATCTGTAAAATTTTATTGTTAGATTAATCAGTGATCAATTATCAATTATGAAAGTTCATTATATTCCATCTGTCCTCTGGTTGAATGATGTCTACGTCGGTCAAAATACTGACAAAGCGCACGTTCCTTTGCTTTCAAGCAATTTCAAAGGAATATCGTGCCTCAAACAGAAAACGAAACTTCGTAGTCTTTGAATCATGTTTCCCACAGCTAATATAGTACTGACGAAGAAATGTCTTTTGAAAATAATGTGCTCGATATATTGTGATATACATCGTGCTATCAGATTCGAGTCATATTATTAATGATCAATTAAAAAACACTTAAAGGCACAAAAATATTGTGTACAAAGGATAATTTTTTTCCTACATATTTATTTCTTTAAATTAATAGTACACATTCTCGTTATATTTGTTTGTTTCTCTGTTTCTTTACTTTCATCTTGCTTTCCGATATCATGGCATGTTTCCCTTTTCTCGAGAGCGAAATGTCTTTTCCCTATCTGAGAAAGCGATTTTGTTATTCAGTATAAGATGGGTGAAGGACACTGTGTACGCGAAACGTAATTCCCCGAGAAAATGGAGGAGAAAAGTGTCGAAAGTGAGACGAAAGATACGGAGAATTTCCAGACAGTAGCATTTACGTACCTTACTTATGTATCTCGTCTTCGACAATACGGTTTAGAAATTTAAGTGCACTCCGCACTAAAACTCGCCACTCATGAATATCGGTCGGCACAAGGGAAATGCAAATTATTATGTAAAACACAATTTTCAAAGAGCTCTCGTTCACATTGTGTTTTATATTAACTCGAGAGTGACTTTGGAAAACTTGTGCTGTAGTTAAAAGGAACTCTACAACAAATTACGAAGCATAATATTATTATGTGCCTATTATGATATTATATGCTTTCATGATATATTTAAAAAGAAGAAGAGAAGAGAAAGAGAGAAAGAAATTGTAAACATTTAATATTTAGAGAATTATATGGATAAACATAATAAATATAACTCATATGCCATATAGTAATAATTCGCGGCTAACTTTATACCTTTTAGTCTGAATTTATTTTATTGATATGAGAAATATTACACATATTAATATACAGATTAGTTTCAATATTTATCGTTAAATAACTTTTAACTTTCCTGTTGTCGAATTAATTAAAATTTAATAAAATAATTTATAAATTAATATCATTAATAAAATATTTATATATATTATTTCAAAATTCAGACATTATTTATGAAACTAATAAGATCAATCCCAAATAATAAAATCTATTGAATGACAGACAATTTATAATCAGATATAGTTAATGTGTTTGATGATTAATTTATATTGTGAAATACAAGTTGTATTTGTTGTATTGTGTAATGCATGCATATATTAGAATTAACAAGAAAATTAATAAGATAAAGAAATAATGTTCAAAATTAAACAGAGAACAATAAACAATTAAAGAACTTATTTTAAGATAATTGTAAGATATATATAAAATTAATATAACTTTTTTGATATATAGGCATAGAAAATATAAGTCAATTAGTAAATAAAAAAAGATATGCAATAAGTACTGCATTTAATCATGGATTAATATGTAAATACTTAGAAAATAAAGACGTGAATATAATGCAATAAAAATATACATACAAAGTGTATATCTCAATTGTACTACATATTTTTGTCAAAATAAAATATTAAAATCTTGAATATCGAAATTTTGAAGAAAATTGCGCGTTAATGTTATTGTAATTACAATTTTAATTGGATTCAATCTGATCACGAGCAAGATGTCTTCTCAAAGAGAAGAAAGTTGACGTAAATTCGCCACGCAGATACATAAAATAGTATAATGGATTTCTAATACGATGAGATGCATTCTGTAATATTGAAAACAGTAGAACTTTGGAGAGCTACGTGACAATCCTTATATTTATACATTATTTCGAAGTACGTGATATAGATAGTATGCAGATGGAATAAGAAACAGTATATCTGATTTCAAATCCGACCAATATATTTCTTCACCTTATCTTTGGTAAACTACTCCATGAAGCTGGTATTTTGTTCACATTAAATTTTAAAAAATATAGAAATATATAAAAAAACATAAAAATAACACAAATATTGAAATTAAATTATTTTTCACAATATTCCTTTCCCTAAATCCTTGATCTCTCTCCCACAAGTATCTTACTTTAATACATATTACACACATAATTCTTCCTCTTGCATTATAAATAAATTCACTTTATATATACTCTTGTTTTTCTAATTAACTGACGTAGATTAAGAAAACATGTGACCACGTAGCGACCGCGCGAATCCGGTGCCTTGGGAAAATCGTCTTTCGAAAGAAATAACGATGCAAACTCGTGGCAGTAGATGCACATAGCAAGTGCCGTACCGTTCTCCACGAAAGGAAAGCTCAGACGGCTCAGAGGGCTCACCGGACCATTGTAAGAGCAACGAACCGACCAAACCGAGAGTAAAGACGCCAGGCGCCTACTTGCTACTGCGATCCCACCAATCATTTGTGCATTCAAGCAGCTACCCGGAAACCCAGTGGTTCCCCGTCGGTCCGCACGACCGATCTAATTCACCCGGTGGAGCAATCGAGCGATATTATTATTTCGGTACCGTCGCTAGAACATCGGGTCGACGCTTCGTGGAATGTTATCATTGGCTTGGGTGCTTTCTGCTTGGGACGAGAATGCGTGCCGTCGGCAAACAGAAAGCTTTGGTGCACCGAATTCGCATCTTAGTCTTGCACGAGCATCGATGAGCTAGTTTCAAATTTCAGAAAATTGAGAAGATCGGTGAAACTTCTGAATCTCTTATGTATAATATTCGTCGTGAAGAAATACAAATGAAGAATATGAAATAATACTGCTCTGCTACTCTGAGGTAAATATCTTAAAACAAAAACTTATTATTTATAAAAAAAATATTATTTTAGTAACAACATGTACATGTACATGTACATGTATAAAACATTGATTTTATAAGGCTGAGGCAGTATTATTTTAATTGCAACAATGTTTATGTGAAAACAAAAGATGGAATCAGGAAATTTGATTTGTTAAATGTATACGATCATGTATAATACATATAATCGTATGTTCACTTCCGAATGTTTATTTTAATTATTACATGTGTTTGATAGTTACGTATGCACCACGCCGAATAAAATTTGTAAAAACATGAAACACAGGTTTGGTCGAACTTTGTTTGTATTGTTGTGAAATTGAAGAAAAATTCTATCTTATTAATATCTAGCTTTTTTTGTTCGAGAACTGTAACATCATATTTGAATAAAAATAATACGTAACGTTTAAAGTGCTTGTTTAATTTTCTTGTTGTTATTCATCAAAAATATTTCGACATATCTTCCTATTATGTTTGTAACGAATTTCGTTGCTGCTGTTCATGCCAGTCAGAAGTTACAAGAATACACAACTATATGACACTTGAACCTGACATATGTGCGCGCATAACTAGACTTACACAATCCTATGACGTGCCATGTGCATAATGCACGCGAAGAGAAAGGCCAAGATGACGAATGAGGCGAAGTGAAGAATTGCAATCTTTCAGCAAGTAATGCATCACGCTGTAATAATTCATCGCTTACAAGCAAAAGATGCGGTGCGACCTCATCGCTTTAATGCTGCAAAGCGCAATGTTATTCACTGATCAGTTACTGTTACTATTATCCGGAAGACATCACCACACAAAAATGATTATATTATATATACATGACTTGAGACAATTTTAAGATTTTAATACGTAAAAAAAATTTCTTTTAAATTATTTTATATTATTTTGTCATTTTTAAATATTCTATTGTTTGAACAAACAAGAAAAAATATAATATTATTTTAATACATAAAAGAAATAAAAGAATGATATATTTATAATAATTATTTTTTAAATTAAATATATTTTAAAAGCAATACAAGCATACTCAGTTTAAAATAATTTTTTTAATAATTGTTTTCATACCAGAATAATTAAAAATAAACTTCTTAATCGTAATATTTTTCTTCATCATAACTCGCTGTAATTTTGTTTGCAAAAACCGCTCAGGGCGTTACTCGTTCATTTATTTCCGTAAACCGGCCTCTCGCTACATATTTTTATCGCAACATTTTCCATTTGCTTTCATTCGCTCTTCGCGTAATTAAAACCGCGTTCAAGCGCGTCGATCATGCAGCGCCGTTTGCGAGAGACGGCAAACATATCCAGACGCCGAAGCGTTCCAACGATTCCAGGCGTCCCGATTGCACGCCAGGCGTGTATGAATTAGATCGACGCGAATTCCCAGCTTCATTCTCGCGACGAATCCACCCCATCGCCACCCCCGCCGCTGGAAATTGGAGCGGGGACTTTATTTTAATAATTGAGCGAACTGTCTATCGCTCGCCCCAACTTCTCGGCGCCCGCCGACTTTACGACCTCTTCATCGTGGATTGTGGATGAAGACGAGAACCACCCAAGGGGGTAACTGCGTGGATCGATCCACCCGATCGATCCGTCGTCTCTGGATCAACCGACGTAACGTTGACAAATGTTGTCGCACGAAAGTATTACCGGTGAATAGTGACAAATTCCCACAAGTGCCGTCGTCATGAGAGATGCTCAAAAGGTCGAGACTTCATTACGAAAGTTTAAACGTTAAAAGTTCGATCGCGCTAGCTCAGCCGCGCAATGATTTCCATCGCAGATACTTTGCGTCGTCATTATGCGAGGATTTATTTGACAAATTTGTCGCGCTGTCACTTACGACAGTGGGCGACGCTTTTTAAAAGGCAACATTAAGATAAATCTAAATCTAATGGAGACGTATATATATTTTCGCCTCGTATATACGACGCCTGCGCGTCTTTAAAAAAATATAAAAACTAAAAATATCTAAAATTTTCTTTATATAAATATTATATGTCAACAATTTTATAACTGGTTCCGAACGTTAAAATTGGCATGGTAATTCCGCAATAATGCATTATATCGCTTTGCTACCAGCGTAAAATTTCGATTGTTTTAAAAATTTACAATACCATGAGAAGAGAGATAATGCGTACGTTCTTTTAAAAGCTATCGTTTAATCCACGAAATTGTAAAATCGTTGCGTAGCTCGAGGTTATAAAATTATGGAATCATCCGCAGAAGGTAATTTTAAAAAATGTTTAAAAAAAGCGATTGTAGTATCTTAATACATACATTTCTCATATCGAAAATTTTATCGAAAATTTGTTCGTATATTCCTAAAATTTTTACTGCTTCATTTTCTTTTATTTATAATCTCTCTCTTTCCTTTCTTATTTGTATAAATAAATGATTATTTGTTATGAATTATTTGTAAAGACTCAATAAAACCATTTTCAAATAAAATTGCAAAAAAGGTTAACATCAAAGGCTGCGAAATCAAATTTATACAAATAAATGCAAATAACTATGCAATTTAATAGACACGATAGAGATATATAGCAACAAATATTGTATATAATACAAATCAATCTAAACATATTGACTTTTACGAATCATTTCAAATATGTTAAATATTGAACGTATTCTGGATTTATCGATGATCGTGAATCATAATAATACGAAAAAATGCATTCATTTGTCTTGTCTATTTACAATGAACATTAATATTTCTGAATCAATGGATGGTAAACCTGCTCCGCGTTGTAACTAATGAAAAACGATCACTTTTTATATGCTTTGTTTGCTATAAATAATGGTACACAAATACAAAAATAAAAACATTACGTTGATAATATAAATAAATTTCCGAACCGGCTGTTCTGCCATTGAATTTTTATGGCTTTGTATGATCTTTTCAATCACTCAAAATTATTGTAATGTTAACAGAATTCGTGAAACGGTCAGATACGTGCAATTCGTGCAACAGCGTCGAAGTCGTTTATCGAGGACAAACTTGGACAAGTCATGCCTTCGCTCGGTATTACAACCGTACTGTTCAATGGACAATGCCATGTTTCCAATGGTCAGTATATAGGTTCGCGGAATATCGTATAATTAACATCCGACCGCGTCATTAAGCCCAGGCTGGTCCCGTTTTAACCACTGCGAAGCGCTAAAGCGATACGTTTACGACAGGCGTTGCACGTGTTGCAGCATGAAAGTTAATGATTTAACACAATATTGCATGATCGGCTTACCGCAGTTTTGATAAAGATAAATATGTAAAATAGTATAACACGACACAACGGAAAAAAAATTTTAATACATTTTTTTAAAATTGGAATTAATTCGTAGCGTTTTTTAATGAAAGAATGTTATTTATTTCACATGAGCATTAAAAAATACATTAATGAAAGTACTTCCCATCACTTGTAAAACGCTACGAATTAATTCCAACACCTAATATATTTATGTATTTAGATTATTTTTACTTGCAATTGAACACAACGCAAGGAATATATGTATGATATATAAATATGAGACCTTCTCTTTGGCCTCTATATATGCATCGTACTTAGGAATCAGATTACGTTGAATAAATTTCCTAAAATTGTATGTTGTAATTGATATTTTTATAATATTTTTCTATAAAAATTGTTTTAAAATTAATGAATCTTGATCGTTTCTGATTATTTTAAAAATGCTATTTAGTATTTATTGATGACATATTCGTACTTTATGAAGTAATTATTATACACAATCCTTTCATTACCTATTTGCCTCTAAAATGTGTATTTGCATATTTCCGCTAGCTAATACCCAAAGGCTGTTTTACCAAATTAAATTATACCACAATCATTTGTGGAATCGAGGAAAGAGACGGGGAAAGGGGATTATTGGTCGCAAAACATGCAATCTCGAGATCAGACTGTAAATCTGTCGGAAAGTTTCGAAATTGAAAGCTTATCGATTTTGCATGGCATTGCCAGGAATTACATCGATGAAATCGCTCAGCGGATGAAGGGATGGCCCTAATGCAAACCCGTGCACACCGACAGCGGGTTTTCGTACCGCTTGCGTATTGTTATCGCGCTACATAAAACGGCTGAGCGCAACTACTACTCGTCGTCGCTCGGATCCCCGGACTGACAAATGGGCCGCGAGTCGTGCGGAATGACAAATCGAAGCTCCAGATTCCAGCGGATGAGGCGAAATTACGCGCCGACCGACAGCTTCTTCCGGAACCATGGCGCAATACTTCTCCGTCAACCGTCGGAGTAAGTCGTTCGGGCAAACGCGAAATTACTGCTATGAAATCTGTCTTATCATTTTATGCATACGTTGTTTCCCCACGACGTGTTGTGCGAACGCCGTGAATCAATCGACAAATTTATGCAATGCTCTGTAAGGAAAATGTACTATTACTTATACCGAAGTTACTGCAATATATCTAATAATTTACGAAATATTTGCTTTTTACATAACTGTCTTCAATTATTTACATGGTATACACACAAAGCGACATTTATTGTTTAAAATTTTATACACGATTCCGTTTCCTA